GGCCTCTGCTGCTGAAAGCAGGTATCTGGTTTGTTTCGGTTCTATAATCGAAACAATGTATAACTCCAGCTCTGAGATCCCGTCGCTGAAAGCAGGTTTCTGGGGTTTTGTTTAGCTTCTATATTTGTTACAATGTTTGAAACTGCAGGCTCAGAGGCCAGCAAGGCAGGCGGGGAATGTTGGTTTCCTCCGTCACTGAAGCAAGAAAGCCTCATGTTAGTTTCAAGCAGCCGGGCTGCCGGCCGCCATCTTGGCTGGCAGTTAATTTGCATATCTCGCTGATTAGCCAATGGGAAGGGTAGCAGTCGTACGCCAATTACCATGTTTCTATTTTATTAGATAGGATATGTTGACTTGGGTCTGTCAGTCATTCTGATGTTCACCAAGTTCTGTTCTAAGGTCTTTACTTCTCTTCTGCTCCCATCCCATGTCCATTTTCACTTCTAATCTTCCATTCTCTCTTTCTTAACAACAACTAGTGATTTAGTATTGAGTACTAATCTTGTGTAATGCCTATAATTTCCCTAAGTTTGCTCAAAGGATAATTCAGCCATCTGAATAGTGATTAAATTTCTAAGCTGGGTGCTGTACTAGGTTCCAGGATAATAATATACTGGTGATCTGCATAGAAGTGATGTCAGGGTTACTAGGTTAACATCTATAATCTGTTTTAAGATCTTCTAAAGAAAAGGATAGAAAAATATAGTAGTAATATCAAGTAAAGTGTCTTAAAATTAACAATGCTCATTGTTTTTTTAAATGCATTTATTTATTTTTTTAATTACAATTGACATACAATATTATATTAGTTTCAGGTATACAACACATTGATTAGACATTTATAAAACTCATTAAATGATCACCCTGATAAATTTAGTATCCATCTGACACATACATAGTTATTACAATATTATTGACTATAATAATCCCTATGCTATACTTGATATCCCTATGACTATTCTATAACACTAATTTGTACTTCTTAATCCTCTTACCCCAATTCTCTCTCCCCTCTGGTAACCCTTAAAATGTTCTTTGTATCTATGGGTCTGCTTCTGTTCTGCTTGTTTATTTTTTAGATTCCACATATACTAGTAAGTAAAATCATGGCATTTATCTTCCTCTGTCTGACTTATTTCTTTTTTTTAAAAAAATATATTTTATTGATTTTTTACAGAGAGGAAGGGAGAGAGATAGAGAGTTAGAAACATCAATGAGAGAGAAACATCGACCAGCCACCTCCTGCACATCTACTGGGGATGTGCCCGCAACCCAGGTACATGCCCCCGACCGGAATCGAACCCAGGACCCTTCAGTCCGCAGGCCGATGCTCTATCCACTGAGCCAAACGGGTTTCGGCTGACTTATTTCTTTAAAAAAATATTTTTATTGATTTCAAAGAGGAAGCGAGAGGGAGATAGAAACATCAATGATGAGAGGGAATCATTGATCGGCTACCTCCTGCACTCCCCCTACTGGGGATCGAGCCTGAAACCCAGGCAAGTGCCCTGACCAGGAATCAAACCATGACCTCTTGGTTCATAGTTCAATGCTCAATCACTGAGCAACACTAGCTGGGCTGTCTGACTTATTTCACTCAGCACAATACCCTCTAGTTTCACCCATGTTATTGCAGACGGCAAGATTTCATTCTTTTTTATGGCTGAGTCTTATTCCATTGTATATATGCACCAATTCTTCTTTATCAATTCATCAGTTGATGGACATTTAGGTTGTTTCCATATCTTGGCTATTGTAAATGATGCTACAATGAACATATTGATGTAAATGACATGTTTAATCTTTCTTTTTCAGCCTGAAAGTACTTTATTGATTTTCTGTGAGAATGGCTATGTCCTTGAAGCTCCAGTTCCAACCATAAAGGCGGACGTGGAGGATGACAATATAGTTACCTATGAAATCAAAGACATGTGCATAAAATGTTTCCACTTCTCAAGTGTCAAATCTAAGATTCTGGTATGAGATATCCTTGAAGCATTATCTTTTAATATTTTGTTTCTTAGAATATAAAATATTCTGTGTTAAGTGCTGGGAAAATACAAAGAGGAATAAGACATAGACCCTGTATTTGAAGGCAGTAGTGAATAGATATTAAAATCACAGCACAAAGAAAAGAATTTTAGGAGCATGCAGAGAAAAGAATATATGATTCTGATGGAAGCATGAAAGGAGGTCAAGAATGACTCTTTTGAGGTGACATTCAGTCCTTAAAAATTGAGAAGAATTTTGAAAGGTTGAAAATGAGGAGGAAGGCAATAAAAGTTGGGAGAACATCCTATGGGGAAGGCAGACTTGTTTTGGTGTTTGGGGGAAATGAAGAATGAACGGGTAAAATAGAGGTAGGCAGTTTGTGATGGGATGTGGCAAATCTATGACCAATACCTGGGACTCTAAATACTAGCCAAGATGTTTCAGGTTTATTTCTGTTTATTCTGTTTATTTCTTAGACTATTGGAATCCATTAGAGTTTTTGTGGAGGGGATTGGTGAGAGCATGTTAAATTAGAGATAATTCTGAGAGGTAAGCAGAATAAAGAGGTAAAAAATGAGAGTTAGGAATGCCAGTTTTAGGGGCTTTTTTCAATAATCAGTTGATAGTGCTGAGGGCCAAAGTCACAGTTTACTAAAAATAGAAACAACTTCCCTCATAGACTATTTTAGTGTTATTGGAAAAGGGGCCTGGACAATAGTGGGTCTGCCAAGCGTGTCAAACTTGTGGCCCGCGGGTGGCATGTGGCCCACAACAAATATTTTTGCAGCTCAGCCAATATAACGGTATGTAAGAACCATTTTAATAAAAATTTCGTAACTTAATTTTTACAATATTCTGTTACACATAATTATTAATAACAAACTAAAACATTCGCTAATGACTGATTACTATAATCATGTATTCATTTCTGTTACCCACCTTACACACAGGTGCACCATTCCTCTCCACCAGTACTATTAGCAAATATTTTAGCAGCTGATTGCCACGTCATTAGTCTTGTACTGACTTGTTTGGTGTGCGCAACAGGAAATATTTCGCTTTCGGAGAGCAAGAAAAATAGGTTTCTGCTGGAAGCAAATTCCAGCAGGTCATAATTATGCAAGAAGTTCATCAGAAGGCTGATGGATCTTGGTGCTTCAGCGGGGCTGAAAATCTGCATATATTATTACCTGATGCTGAACAGCTGTAGGCATTTCCCCTAACCTGATACTCTTTTCCTGTTTACCAAACTTTACCTGTTTGCATTCCTAAAGGGCCTGGCCAGCAAATAAAAAGCCGTGGGTCTGGAGATTCAGAGGGCCCACTTCACTAGGAAGTGGAACCTCCCCTGGCTCCCCATGCCTCCCAAATTTATATTCCATGTCTAGTTTATTTAATTTACGTTGTAGCCCTTCTCCAGATTCTTGAACCCTTGCAGCTGCGGATAAGACCCCAGCAGGTTTATTTGCATTACGCTTATTAATTTGTGCAGTTATTCAGTGTCTGGTAAGTTAATGTTGAAGAAAAAATATTAATTTTTATTAAAACATTCTATTATTTTATGTTAATGATTACTCTTTGATTTCAGCCCTCTGTATTCAGCGTGTCCCTATAGAAATAAACCTATGTTTCTACGAAATTTTTTGCGGCCCAGATACACTTAAACCTTGTTTATTTGGCCCATGTTAGCCTTTGAGTTTGACATGCGTGGCCTAGAGCCTCTGATAGTCTGTGGGTTCTTAACTTCATGTAGGAAAAATTTCACAACAGGAGTCCAGGTGAATTCTGGAGGATGTTTATTGTTGGGGACAGTGAAACAAGAAAGGGCTGAGGAAATGAGCCTAGGCTGGTCTGCTTTGGGTCACTAAGAAGCTGGAAAAGGGGGGGTCTTGGGAACAGGTTCAGGGGTTTGCCCTGGCTTGTCGCTGCCCATTGGGCATGTTCCTGGGAAAGAGAGCTCACTAGGACCTTAGCATTAAGGGCTTTTATAAAGGCTGGGTGTTTAGGAGAGGTCCTAAGGGAGGATCTCAATAGAATATTCATTTGTTTTATGCTGATGTGCCAAAATGAGATTTATCCCCTTAACTTCATATGTCCTTGGGTGTGGTTGGCAAATAGGACTAATTGGATTTCTGCTAGCTATCTCCTTACGTAGGGTGATTTAAGCTATTTACCCTCTTGTTGGGGAGAAGTGAAAACCATTTACTCATAAATGTCCCTGGTTAAGGAAGAAAGGATTTACTAGAGGGCTGCAAACTGCTGTTTAACTATCTGTCTCAGTTTCTCTATTCCACTTGCTAAGACATTTTCCTAGCTTCTTAACTATACTATCTCAAGTCCACCTAATTGTTGGTCTGACAGGGTTAGACTCTGAGAGAAACTGTATTTAGCTGTTTATTAGGGGGAAAAAAACCCAATGAAATAATGTCTATAAAGCCAGGATCAGTTGTGGGGGTGGGGGCTAATATAGAAATAAAGTTATTCCAAAGATTTGAAAAATTTAGTGATAAAAATATATCCCAAATTGATATCTATTGAGTTTTTCTAGGACAGCGGTTCTCAACCTGTGAGTCGCGACCCTTTTGGGGGTCGAACAACCCTTTCACAGGGGTCGCCTAAGACCATCGGAAAGCACATATATAATTACATATTGTTTTTGTGATTAATCACTATGCTTTAATTATGTTCAATTTGTAACAATGAAAATGGGGGTCACTACAACATGAGGAACTGTATTAAAGGGTCGCGGCATTAGGAAGGTTGAAAACCACTGCTCTAGGACGTCTTCCTTTTACTTTCTTTGTCTTCCCCAATAGTGTAAATGAATGAATGATTGTAATGGTTTTTACATCTCCTTAATGTCTCTTTTGCAAAAGAGATTAATAGAAATTGAAAAGAGAAGGAAACAAAAGGAGTTGAAAGAGAAGGAAAAGGAAGAAAGGAGGACACGGCTAGCAGAGGTGGGAGAAGAGGAGGTGGAGGATAAGAAAGAAGAGAAGGAGGAGGAGGAAGAGGAGGAGGCAGTGGTGGAGGAGGAGGAGGAGGAGCCATTACCTGAAATCTTTATTCCATCAACCCCCAGTCGCATCCTCTGTGGGTTTTACTCTGGACCAGGGAAGTTCTGGCTTTCTTTGGTGAGTAATCAAATCTAATAAAAGAGAAACATGCAAATTGACCATACCGCCGCTACACCCACAAGCCATGCCCACAAGCCACAGCCACCCCCCAATCAGGAGCAAATATGCAAATTAACCCAAGAAGGCATCGGCCATGGAGCTGGAGCGAGCAGGAGGCTTGGGTTGCCCCCAGCAATGGAGGAAGCCAATATTCCTGCCTGCTCTGCTGGCCCTGAGCTCTGCTTCCAGCCCGTGACAGTGGCCAGCCTGAAAATGGCCATCAGCTCCTCACCCAGGCTGGCCAGGCACCCCAGCAGGGACCCCCACCCTGAAGGGGCTGTGGGCAGCCTGAAAATGGCCCTAGGCTCCTCACCAAGGCTGGCCACACCCCCAAGGGGTGAGGGTCTCCACTGGGGGGCTTAACCAGCCTGCAAACAGCCATCAGCCCCTCACCCAGGCTGGCCAAGCACCCAAATGGGGACCCCCACCCTGAAGGGGGTGTGGCCAGTCTGAGAACAGCCCTCAGACCCTCACCCAAGCCAGTCAGGCACCCCAGTGGGACCCTCACCCTGATCCAGGTGTGGCCAGACTGAAAATGGCCCTCAGCCCTTCACCCAGACTGGCCAGGCACCCCAGTGGGGACCCCCACCCTGAAGGGGGTGTGACCAGCTGCAAACAGCCATCATCCCCTCATCCAGGCTGGCCAGGCTCC